AGCAGAGGTGTGTGTGTGTGTGTGTGTGTGTGTGTGTGTGAGAGAGAGAGATAGAGAGAGATAATGTTTTAATTAATGGTAAACATGATCTGATCACTAAAGCTCCTGTCGGTCTGATGTTCTGAATCTGTTGCTCATGTTCTGTATCATCAGCTCAATCTCGGCAGCTGTTTGTTTTATTAAGTGTGATTCTGTTCGATCAGCTCTGGTTTGTTGATGTTGCTGGAATATTATGATATTTTATTATATATGATGTTAGTGCTGAGGTTAGTGATGTGACGCGTGTGTCTGAGGAGCCTCACATGCGCCCTCTGCTGGACACTGATGAGTGTGTGTGTGTGTGTGAGTGTGTGTGTGTGAGTGTGTGTGTGTGTGTGTGTGTGTGTGTGTGTGCCTGTCTGTGTGTCTGTGTCTGCGTGTCTGTCTGTGTGTGTGTGTCTGTCTGTCTGTGTGTGTGTGTGTGTGTGTGTGTGTCTGTCTGTGTGTCTGTGTCTGCGTGCACGTGTTTTTGTGACAAATGAGGACATAAATGTGTATAATGACAAAGGTATGACAGGTATTACAAGGAGAAGGTGACTTTTCAGGACATTACCCCATGTCCCCACTTTTCAAAACGCTTATAAATCACACAGAATGGAGTGTATTGAAAATCTGAAATAGCAGAAAGTCTCCTGTGAGGGGTAGGGTTAGGGGTAGGGTTGGTGTAGGGCAATAGAATATACGGTCTGTACAGTATAAAAACCATTACGCCTATGGAGAGTCCCCACTTTTCACAAAAACAAACCTGTGTGTGTGTTTCTCAGCTGAGGCTCTGGACGTGGGCGAGTATCTGGAGATCTCTGGGATCGTTCGCTCTCAGGCCGGACGTTACGAGTGTAAAGCGAGCAATGACGTCTCCACTCCTGATGTCAAATACGTCAACGTGGTGGTGAACTGTGAGTAGATGTTTGAGATCAGACTGTGTGTGTCTCATCCTGAGTGTGTGAGATCAATACAATACAACACAAGTTTATTTGTAGCACATTTAAAAACAACTGGTGTTGACCAAAGTGCTTTACAAGGCTAAAAGAGACAGGCAATAAAGACCCAAAACATTTAAGCACTAGAGAAACAATAAAAGTAAGAGAAAAAATAAACAAAAGCCTAAAATAAGATAAAATAGAGGAGAAAAGCTAGAATCAAAAGATATTAATGCCGATATGAATCAAGGTATATTGAAAGCCACGGAGAAAAGGTACGTTTTCAAGGCGGATTTAAAAGTTGACAAGGTTTGGGCAGATCTGATGTAGGCCGGAAGGCTATTCCATAACTTAGGACCGATGACCGCAAATGCGCGATCACCCCAGTTTTTAAGTCTGGTTCTAGTAACATATAGTAAATCAGAGTCCCTAGATGTAAGTGATCTAGACTGTGAAGGCGGATGCAGTAGTTCAGATAGGTACTGTGGTGCCTGGTTCCGCAAAGTCTTAAAAACAGATAACAAAACTTTGAAATCAGTTCTGTATTTGACCGGTAACCAATGAAGTGAAATCAGAACCGGTGTGATGTGTTCACTTTTACGCTTCCCTTTGAGGAGCCCGGCTGCGGCATTTTGAACTGTAAGCGTGTGACACATGTCTGAGAGGCACCAATGTACAAAGAGTTATAATAGTCTAGTCGGGATGCTACAAATGCATGCATGACAGTTTCAAAGTTCTTACCAGACAAAAAGGGCTTAACCTTTGCTAAAAGACGAAGATGATAGAAACAAGACCTAACCACAGCACATATCTGCTTATCAAATGTAAGACTGTTATCAAGCGAAACCCCCAGATTCCAAACACAGGTGGTACTGTAAGGTAACAGAGTATCGAGATCAACATCATGAATGCTGTGATCATTTGAACCAAACAAGATAATTTCAGTCTTACTCTCATTAAGTCTTAAGAAATTACTAGCAAGCCAGAGTTTCAGTTCGTCTAAGCAGTCTAATATAGGCTTAAAGGCAAGCTTATCGTCACGCTTTATAGTAGGGGTGGGAATCGCAGGGTACCTCACGATACGATACGAATCACGATACAGCGATTCTGCGATAATCGATATATTGCTAGACAATCCTATAATGATACATCACGATATCTGTCTAACTATGAAAACAAAATGCCTGTGAAAAGGTTAAGTGCAAGTTTTCTCTCTTTATTCAAGTCCAAACTGTTAGAAAACAGCACAAAAGTTCTGTAAATCAAATTTGACATGTTAAGTAAATTAATCATTTTATTCTTGGACTTATTAAAAGCTTACACTTTTCTTTGTGTGTAAACCAACACATTTAACTGCTTATCAACTTTATATATAGCCTATATATGTATATATATACCTGGTACATTTCAAAATGTACCTGGAGTGCTTTCTCAACCTTTCCTCTCCTCTCATCATAAAAACGGAGCCCCGCACACATGACATGCAGGGAAAAAATAGCCGTTCACATATCCTCTTTTGCGCACTCAGGTTCGTTATTTCATGTGTCATGTAGACACGCGGCAAGCGCACACACTGCACACTTCTGCACCACATTATGGCTCTGACGAGGTTTTGTTTCGTCGTCCATGCCATAGCTGCAGATTTATGTTTCTGCCGGTCAGTGCCCACTGCATAACACACACTTGTAATATCTGAGAGAGAGAGAGAGCATCCAGTTTTGTTGACATAAAACTAGACGCGCCGGTGGCACTCTCTCACTCATATAGTTAGTGAGGGAAATCCACCTGCTATCCGAGCGGAGAGGTTAGGCTACTCACAGACTCAGTATGTGCTCTGCAATAATAACGTGATCTGTGCCTATGGTCCACGCTGATAGCTGTTCCGGGGCAGTTTTTTAGTTCTCATTTCCATAAACATATATATAGCAGGAGAGCTAATACAGTGGCTGGAAATCTGTTTTTTGTGATTGACCAGGTCAAATGCAGAGCTAAGGTCTAGCAAGACCAAAGCCACAGACTGCCCGGTATCTGTGATGGCCTTTAAAACCAGACTGAAATTTCTTGTGTATATTGTTATCATTAAAAAAAGGCAAACGTTGGCTCAGGACCACTTTTTCTAAAAATTTTGAGAGGAAAGGTGAATTTTAGATTGGGCGAAATTACTCAAAGCGTAGGATCCAAATTTGTTTTTTTAAGATGAGGCAGAACAGAGGCATGTTTAAGGCAGTCGGGTACAGTCCCAGTAAAAAGACATTTGTTGATGACAGACAACAAATCAGGGCCAATAGCTTGAAAAACATGCTTAAGAAAATGTGTGGGAATCACATCCTGAGGGCAGCTAGTAGGTTTTAAACCAGCAACAATCTCTTTAAGAGAGTTCAAGGTGATAGGCTCAAAGACAGACCATGTAGAAGAGCAGAAAGGAACATCAAGTGGTGTATAGGCTGACAAAGGCATTAGAGATTTAATCTGTGAGATCTTATCATTAAAATATCTAGCAAAATCCTCACAAAGATAATCAGATGTCTCAGGAAAATTATTAATAGTGGGACTGAGAGCAGAATCAGTTATTGAAAATAGGGCTTTAGGCCTGGTACTGTTACATAAAATTAACTATTTACATTTAAATATTTACATTTAGCACCATTAGCAGCTCGCTGAATCAGATTGTGTTCGATCAGACAGTGTGTGAGATCAGACTGTGTGAGATCAGACTGTGTGTGAGATCAGACTGTGTGTGAGATCAGATTGTGTGTTAGATCAGATTGTGTGAGACCAGACTGTGTGTGAGATCAGACTGTGTTAGATCAGATTGTGTGAGATCAGACTGTGTTAGATCAGACTGTGTAAGATCAGACTGTGTGTGAGATCAGACTGTGTGAGATCAGAGTGTGTGAGATCAGACTGAGTGTGAGATCAGACTGTGTGTGAGATCAGACTGTGTGTGAGATCAGACTGTTAGATCAGAATGTGTGTTAGATCAGACTGAGTGTGAGATCAGACTGTGTGAGATCAGACTGTGTTAGATCAGACTGTGTGAGATCAGACTGTGTTTGAGATCAGACGGTGTGAGATCAGACTGTGAGATCAGACTGTGTGTGTGTGTGTGTGAGAGAGAGAGATCAGACTGTTAGATCGGACTGTGTTTGAGATCAGACTGTGTATGTCTCATCCTGTGTGTGTGTGTGTGTGTGAGAGAGAGAGAGAGATCAGACTGTTAGATCAGAATGTGTGTGAGATCAGACTGAGTGTGAGATCAGACTGTGTGAGATCAGACTGTGTTTGAGATCAGACGGTGTGAGATCAGACTGTGAGATCAGACTGTGTGTGTGTGTGTGAGAGAGAGAGAGAGATCAGACTGTTAGATCGGACTGTGTTTGAGATCAGACTGTGTATGTCTCATCCTGTGTGTGTGTGTGTGTGTGTGAGAGAGAGAGAGAGATCAGACTGTTAGATCAGACTGTTAGATCAGGACTGTGTATGTCTCATCCTGTGTGTGTGTGTGTGTGTGTGAGAGAGAGAGAGAGATCAGACTGTTAGATCAGACTGTGTTTGAGATCAGACTGTGTGTGTCTCATCCTGTGTGTGTGTGTGTGTGTGTGTGTGTGTTTGAGATCAGACTGTGTGTCGCATCCTGTGTGTGTGTGAGAGAGAGAGAGATCAGACTGTGTTTGAGATCAGACTGTGTGTGTGTGTGTGTGAGATCAGACTGTTAGATCAGACTGTGTTTGAGATCAGACTGTGTGTGTCTTCCTGTGTGTGTGTGAGATCAGACTGTTAGATCAGACTGTGTGACATCAGACTGTGTGAGATTAGACTGTGTGTGGCTTGCTCTGTGTGTGTGAGATCAGACTGTGTGTGTCTCCACAGACCCGCCGTACATTAAGGAGGTGCGGAGCTCCGAGACGCCGGTGGGACAGGCTGGAGTCCTGCACTGCGAGGCGTCTGCGGTTCCTCAGCCTGAGTTTGAGTGGTACAGAGACGAGCGCAGGTCAGTCACTCAGAGAACACAGATTATCCCCATCCCCAGAACGTTCCCAAAACATGTGTGATACTGTAGAATGCGAATAGAATGTAATACAAATAGAATGTTCTATTTAGTTTCCTGTCTGACTTTTAGCTAACATTCTTCTAACATACACTCCAAAACAGCTCTTTTTTAGACACGCCCCAAAAATGATATTTTCCAACAGTTATAATAAATGAACTGTTGGGTATTTTGGGCTGAAACTTCACAGACACATTCTGGAGACACCCAAGACCAATATTACATCTTGTAAAAAGGGGCATAATGGGTGCCTTTTTTTCCTTCTGGAGCATCAGTGGGCATTTGAACCTTCTGTAATAGTTGCATATATGCACATTTTGCAGATTCTGCAAGGTGTATGTAACTTTTGACTTCAACAGTATGTATGTATATATATATATATACAGTGGGGCAAAAAAGTATTTAGTCAGCCACCAATTGTGCAAGTTCTCCCACTTAAAAAGATGAGAGAGGCCTGTAATTTTCATCATAGGTATACCTCAACTATGAGAGACAAAATGAGAAAAAAAAATCCAGAAAATCACATTGTAGGATTTTTAAAGAATTTATTTGCAAATTATGGTGGAAAATAAGTATTTGGTCAATTACAAAATTTCATCTCAATACTTTGTTATATACCCTTTGTTGGCAATGACAGAGGTCAAACGTTTTCTGTAAGTCTTCACAAGGTTTTCACACACTGTTGCTGGTATTTTGGCCCATTCCTCCATGCAGATCTCCTCTAGAGCAGTAATGTTTTGGGGCTGTCGCTGGGCAACACGGATTTTCAACTCCCTCCAAAGATTTTCTATGGGGTTGAGATCTGGAGACTGGCTAGGCCACTCCAGGACCTTGAAATGCTTCTTACGAAGCCACTCCTTTGTTGCCCGGGCGGTGTGTTTGGGATCTTTGTCATGCTGAAAGACCCAGCCACGTTTCATCTTCAGTGCCCTTGCTGATGGAAGGAGGTTTTCACTCAAAATCTCACGATATATGGCCCCATTCATTCTTTCGTTTACACGGATCAGTCGTCCTGGTCCCTTTGCAGAAAAACAGCCCCAAAGCATGATGTTTCCACCCCCATGCTTCACAGTAGGTATGGTGTTCTTTGGATGCAACTCAGCATTCTTTCTCCTCAAGTTGAGTTTTTACCAAAAAGTTCTATTTTGGTTTCATCTGACCATATGACATTCTCCCAATCCTTTTCTGGATCATCCAAATGCTCTCTAGCAAACTTTAGACGGGCCTGGACATGTACTGGCTTAAGCAGGGGGACACGTCTGGCACTGCAGGATTTGAGTCCCTGGCGGCGCAGTGTGTTACTGATGGTAGCCTTTGTTACTTTGGTCCCAGCTCTCTGCAGGTCATTCACTAGGTCCTCCCGTGTGGTTCTGGGATTTTTGCTCACATTTCTTGTGATCATTTTGACCCCACGGGGTGGGATCTTGCGTGGAGCCCCAGATCGAGGGAGATTATCAGTGGGTTTGTATGTCTTCCATTTTCTAATAATTGCTCCCACGGTTGATTTCTTCACACCAAGCTGCTTACCTATTGCAGATTTAGTCTTCCCAGCCTGGTGCAGGTCTACAATTTTGTTTCTGGTGTCCTTTGACAGCTCTTTGGTCTTGGCCATGGTGGAGTTTGGAGTGTGACTGTTTGAGGTTGTGGACAGATGTCTTTTATACTGATAATGAGTTCAAACAGATGACATTAATACAGGTAACGAGCGGAGGACAGAGGAGCCTCTTAAAGAAGAAGTTAGAGGTCTGTGAGAGCCAGAAATCTTGCTTGTTTGTAGGTGACCAAATACTTATTTTACCGAGGAATTTACCAATTAATTTTTTAAAAATCCTACAATGTGATTTTCTGGATTTGTTTTTCTCATTTTGTCTCTCATAGTTGAGGTATACCTATGATGAAAATTACAGGCCTCTCTCATCTTTTTAAGTGGGAGAACTTGCACAATTGGTGGCTGACTAAATACTTTTTTGCCCCACTGTATATATATGTATTTTTTTCCATCTAATATGTATAGTGTATTCTATTATATTTTATTTCAGTTACCAAAAAAAATGTTTTAATAATTAAAGTTTTACAATAACAATGCTGCACAGGAGAAATTTATCCTGTCTGTCTATTACCAGTATAAAAACAACATACATGAATGAACACAAGCACATGAATGCAATTTTAAGAAAATTAAGGTTCTTACAGAAATCGGTAAATAATATAAATTAATAAATGTAATAACAATTACATTGAAGACTAGCTTTTGACAGTTGAACTGCATCGGATCATTTATGTTATTTAGTGTTCGTCCATCTGCCGTCAGACAGTAAAGCTGATTTACAGTAATAATGATCTGTCAGTGTTTGTGTGTGTGTTTGTCAGACTGTCCAGCTCTCAGAGCGTCAGTATTCAGATCAGTGGCTCTCGCACACTGCTGGTGGTCGCTAACGTCACAGAGGACGATTACGGAAACTACACGTGTGTCGCCACCAACAGACTGGGAATCCACAACGCCAGCGTGTTCCTCTACAGTGAGAATCACACACACACTCTCACACACACACACACACACACACACACCCACACACACACACTCGCACACACTCTCACACACACACACTCACTCACACACTCTCACACACACACACACCCACACACACACACTCGCACACACTCTCACACACACACACTCACTCACACACTCTCACACACACACACACCCACACACACACACTCGCACACACTCTCACACACACACACTCACTCACACACTCTCACACACACACACACCCACACACACACACTCGCACACACTCTCACACACACACACTCACTCACACACTCTCACACACACACACACCCACACACACACACTCGCACACACTCTCACACACACACACTCACTCACACACTCTCACACACACACACACCCACACACACACACTCGCACACACTCTCACACACACACACTCACACACACACACACTCACACACTCACACACACACACACACACTCTCACACACAGATGTAGATCAGTATGTCGTCCAGCAGATGGCGCAGTTTACCAACATGTCTCTCTCTCGCTCTCTCTCTCTCTCTCTCTGTCTCTCAGAACCTGGCACTGGGCGGGACATCAATGCCTCAGGCTGCGTCTGTCAATCATTCTGGCTCCTCCTCCTGTCTGTTCTCTCGGCTCTTCTGAAGTGTTAATGTTCATCGCAGACGCTCTGAATGCGATCGATCGTCTCAGACTGTTTCCATCCATCCATCCACGCTCACCGTTACGCTCCGGCAGGACGACCGTCTTATTATCAGGAAAAAATATGACATGGAGAAAAGAAAGAAGGTGCTCTTTTTAAGACAAGAATATTGTCGTTTAACCGGTTCAAACACTTAATTCCAGTGACGCCCGTCTGTCTGTCGTCTGAGTGCATGTGTGTGATTTACCACAGAAACCCAGAGCGAAATCATCTAGAAAAATGGTTCATTTCATTGTGTTTTCCCATAATACCCTGAAGCCTGTTCCTAAATCTGCCTAATGTAATCTAATGAAGGAGCGCTAGAATCATGTAAAGTCCTTTAGATGTGGTTTAAAGCTAATGACTAGCAGAAAGGACTGAAACACACAGTATTTTCTGCTGAATCTTCATCATGAAGATTCTCCGAGATCAGATCACGTTTGAGACGCTCACATCCATCTGTGTTTGTGATGATTGATCGGAGCATCTTTAACAGATGCAGAACAGACCCCGCCCCTAAACCACTCCCACATGTGTAGCTCCGCCCACACACACTAAACCATCCCACACGTGTAGCTCCGCCCACACACACTAAACCCCTTCCACATGTGTAGCTCCACCCACACTAAACCCCGCCCACACACACTAAACCCCTTCCACATGTGTAGCTCCGCCCACACACATCAAACCCCTCCCACATGTGTAGCTCCGCCCACACACACTAAACCGCTCCCACATGTGTAGCTCTGCCCACACTAAACCCCGCCCACACACACTAAACCCCTTCCACATGTGTAGCTCCGCCCACACACACTAAACCCCTCCCACATGTGTAGCTCCGCCCCCACACACTAAACCCCTCCCACTCCTGGCAGATCTGCAGGTGTTTCTTCAGGGTTCTTGTGAAAACCTGGATCATCTGAGAATCTCTCTCTCGTGAAAAACTATTCTTTTGTAGGGAAACCTGTAGAATTCTGTGGAATGATTTTTACCGTGGCAAAGCGTGAGATTCGTCCAGACTGTGAAATCGTATGAACTCTGAATTGTACGACACCAATGAATGCTTGGCTTCGATCCGCTGCTCATCCCGTCGCGTCTGTCGTCTGTAAATATTCTTTTGAATCGAATGTCCTCACATGGAGACGAAACGAATCTTCGGTTCAGGTCTCTTCATAAGTAGTTAGTTATCTGCAGTGGCATTTTGATGCTTCCTGTAACAAACTGAAATTAGATACTAAACAAAGATTTTTAATACAAATATTTAAATATCTCGTTCTAAAACTAGATTTACCTTTGAAGCGGCTGCACTACTATTCTTATTTATAGAGACTGATCAGTTCTGTTCGTTAGTTATTATAATAGTAGTTGTACAGAAATGAGCTGAATCCACTGACTGCCAAACGATTACAGAAAACGATATGAAAAAGCTATTTTAGAGATGATTTACACTGAATCCACACACGCGTTCGTTTTCTTTGTCGCTGATTTTGTGAAGCGTCTGTCCCTGATTTTCTTTTTTACCTGTTAATTTCTTTTGAAGTTCTCAAAGAGCAGGTTGTGTGTACGCATTCATATATTAAAGACATTTCAAAAATATTATGAATCCCTCCTGAGCTCTTCAGCCCTTTGATTGACAGCTCTCTCAGCCAATAGGCTTTCAGCGTGTGAGCTCTGATGCCTTGACTGGATGAACCCGCGTGTGGCTCGGCGGCTGGTTTTTAAGGGCTAGTCGTGTGTCTCCTGTAGTCCGCAGCAGCTCTCGCTCGTGCCCTGAACACCGTTATTTGGGTTTGATCCGATCCAAAGTCAAGCGTCCTGAAGTCCGGATCAGGACTTGTGTGTTTTCTTTCTGAATGCAGCTTCACTGCAGTGTGTGTGTTTAACAGTTACACTCAATGAGGATCAGCTGACTTTAATTTCACCGTGTGTATGTGTGAGTGTCTGTGGATATAGAGATCTGGCTTTATTGTTTCACTTTCACACAGAACTGCTGATAAACTGGCTTGAAAAAGCACTTCTGCAACATTTTAATTTGACAGTTTTTCTGAATTGCTCAAACACATTTCTTGAAACCATCACTCATTTTCTCAAAACCGTAAACACAAATCCACATCTTCAGACTGAATCCACACAAGCCCTGACTCTTCTGGCAAAATCACACAATCGCTTCTAAACCATTTCACCTGTGCTCAAAATCAAACAAAGCTTTCTTCATACACACATGAGTCAGTAATACACACGCTACACATCATTCATTACACACTACATCAGAACATGGAGAGCACAGTGTCCAGTGCATGCAGTTACCAAAAAATAAAAACAGTTTACTGTAGATCGTAAACATTTAGCAATAATGACAAACGTTTAGGCTCGCTGCCTTCGTCAGTGTGACAAGATCCCAGTAACTCAATGATTATATCAAGACCAATAAAGACCAACAGGTGGCAGTAATTAGACTTCCAAGCTCACAGACTCCAGATCAGTTCTATCTATAACAGCAGAAAATTCAACAAAAATCAATGGGGACAATAACACATCAGGCTAAACATGCCGTTCATACACACTGCTCCCAAAAAAAAAATATTACAAGAAACATGAAAGATCAAAATCCTCATTTAGACCCAACGGTGACATGGTCTTTAAATAAAACATTCATTATTTTCTCAATCTCTAAAGATTTCAGCTGTTCAGCACTATGGTTATGTTCAGTAAAGTGTCTGGCCGCTGGAGAAGTACACTATGGTTATGTTCAGTAAAGTGTCTGGCCGCTGGAGAAGTATCATCACGTCTACGAGTAGCTGATTGTGTTCACTGATTCTAATTCTCAATGGCCCCGAAGCTTTTCCGACATACAACAGTGGACATGGACATTGAAGTAAGTATATTATATTATTAGTAGAACATGTTGTAACAGTTTCCCTGTTACTTATGTACCAGAAATCCTCTTAGAGCAACATTATCACTACTCACCTGAGCACTAGGGGGCGCTCTGTTAAGGTAATGCATGCATTTACCTATTTAAGGTAGCAAAGAAGGAGTAATGGCGGGAAGTTAATTCTCTATCTTCTTCTGAGAAGCTTACCTCGTGGTGGTTTGAGGAACTTTATTGTTCTAAGCTCATCCGTGAGTAATTGTTCGTGGTACTTTGCTTGGTTAACTAAGTGTTTGTAGCACATGGTTTGCGTGTTTAAATGTTTGTCTGCAGAGGGTCTGTGTTCTGAGCAGGTATGGATTATTTGGTGGCTTAAACATCTGAGAAGCCTGGAACTAGGGGAGCTGACTTAATACTGCTTAAAAGCAACGCTGGACTTCAAACATCTCTTTTCAGGTTGAACTTTGCTGGAGAATCATCTTGGCATTCAAGTACTGTGTTGTGCACTTCATGTTTCAACTAAGACTGTGCTCTCACTTTATGCTCTCTACAACAGAGACTGAGCAAAGTATATGGGTTTAAGTGATTACAAGCCAAGGACTGTGCTTTGGGATACTGGACTGTTTTTATGCTCTGGTCCTAACTGTTGAACTCTCAATTGTTTGTCATTTAGAATTTATAGGTGCTTGGTAATTATATTTAATACACCTGACTCGTGAGTAAGACTGGTTCGTGTAACACTTGCACAAAAGACAAAGGTATATGTGTTACAATGTGATGCAAGATTTGATATGGTATGTTTTATTCGTCAGTAAACATGTGAACTTTTTGCATTGTAGTATAGCGTGCAATTTCGACATGGGAAACAACCTTGTATACGTGTTCTTCTCATCACGCCCTACATCTGATCTAACTAGCATATTTGCCAAATCTGAAGATCTTTTATAAGAAAACATCTGAAGCCAAGGAAAGGAGCTGAAGCTACAATGAACCAATACTTACTGCTGAATGAAACCAAGTCTGTGGATATCCTCTTGAACAAAAACCATTCTTCAGTTTGACTCTTCTGAATCACAAACATGTCTATAGAGTTGACTTAATGGTGACCCTTTTGTCAGTGTGATGACTCAGCAGACAACAACGTGTTTTTGTCTACGGAGCACTGTGGTGGAGATCTTACTGACTTTTGAGATAAATGCATCTAAAAAATAAACTGATGATAAATTGTGCTGAACTGAAAATATAATAGAACCTAATCTAGAATTAAAAAACAATTCCTCTTCACGTGCTTTCCAGCAATCATCAGTGTATCTTGCCCAGTGCTGAAACTTCCAAAAGGATGATTATTGTAAATAAAATCTAATTCAAATGTAACCGGTTAGCGTGACGTGGTGCTAGAGGTGTGCCTCTAGAAGGCAATCTTGGATTCTGTAGAGTTTGGAGAAAATAATCTCAGGATTCTAAACCTTCTTTGTGTGGAGTTGAAGTGTACAGAGATGTTACTAACCAATCTAAATTGGAATAGGATTGTAATTTATTTAAAAAATCTGTTGTATCTCTCGAATAAGAAGGCAGTTGTGTCAGTAATGGTTGTGAATAATAATCTATAAATACAGACAACATTTCCGTGAGGCAGCCAATACCAGATACTATAGTCGATAAGGAGGATCTACAATAGATTTGTGTGTTTTAGGTAAAACATTAAAGCACCGGGACAACTGGATGATGATTTGTTAAGCATTTAGATTCTTGTTCTGTTATCCATTTCTCTTCAAAACCTTTGTTTAACATTAAATCTGGGATTTAAATTCTATAGTAGGATTAAATATTAGTTTTTTTATAACATGAAGAATCGCTAAGCATTGTTTTTACTTTAGAGATATATTTATCTGTATTTCGTATAGCTATAGCTCCGCCTTTATCTGATTTTTGGATTATAATTGATATGTCTCTTTTTTTATTTTTTATTTTTTAAATCCTCTAAAGCTGCTTTTTGAACTTGGTCTAGATTCTTCGGCTCAAACTTGGGTTTTTCATCAACATTTTATCTACATCATTCTCTACCAGCTCTGTGTTCACCGAGGGGTTGGAGATGTGGGGTGTAAAGGCACTTTTAGGTTTAAATTGATTAGTTGCACTAGTTCTGTTACAAACCAAAAAACTTTAGTGTCACATTTCTCATGAACTTGAACCGTTCTATCTTGACTAAGAAAGGATCAGTTCTTGGAATCGGAACAAAAGATAAACCTTTACTGAGAATTTGGACACAGTTCTTTGTCAGATAGATTGGTCTTCTGTCTTTGTTTTCAGTAGGGTTTATAGTCTTTCCCCTCGAGCCTCTTCTGGTGCGTGTTCTTTGGGAGCGATGTGGACTTGCCAAGAAAGGCCTGGTAGTTGTAGAAGAAGAACGGTTGGATTCACTGGCGTCTGTGGGTTCTTCCCGTTTCCCGACATCCATCTGTAGATCTTGTCTTTATTATCCATTGTATCTCGTCTAAATTTGTTAGTTTAAAGGTGATTAAATCATCTCAGAATTTCTTCAATTGTTCCTGGATGTTCAGTTGTAGTTCATTTAGTTTCTCCTTTATTGTATGCAGATTGGATTTCTTTCTCACACTCCAGGATAGAAGTTTTTACAGAAGAAGGTTCCTTCGAGGTGTTCGACGATTAATAACATCAAATGGTTCAGAACTTCACACCAGCGTTGACAGAAGTCCGGATTTTCTTTGCCGATGGTAGGGGCTTGTTCAGTTCGAAGACCTCTGGGAATGCGTCCACATCGATGATATTCACTCAGAGTTTTAGCGTGTCGTTCAAAGCGTATCTCTTTTTGGTGCAGTCGTGAAAGTCTTTCTTTTAAAGAATCAAATGATTCCATGCATCGGTCTTCACGGTCATCTACATTGCTGGGATATAAAGTTCTTGCTTTATCTCCTGCATTAAAAGTGAAAGTTTTTGCTCTGGTGTCAGTGAGTTTGGCGACTGCTTCACACGACATGCTGCAGGTGTAATTCCTATACTCCCATGTCAACACGCTCTCAACACGCTCGCCCAGCTGTTGTAGGAGCAAAGACCTGTTTCTTATATCAAACGTTGCTCAACGTCTGCACTCTAAAAATATCTTTATTGTAGCAGGAGATAAAAACAAATGACGGACGTCGTGTCGTTCAAAGCGTATCTCTTTTTGGTGCAGTCGTGAAAGTCTTTCTTTTAAAGAATCAAATGATTCCATGCATCGGTCTTCACGGTCATCTACATTGCTGGGATATAAAGTTCTTGCTTTATCTCCTGCATTAAAAGTGAAAGTTTTTGCTCTGGTGTCAGTGAGTTTGGCGACTGCTTCACACGACATGCTGCAGGTGTAATTCCTATACTCCCATCTCAACACGCTCTCAACACGCTCGCCCAGCTGTTGTAGGAGCAAAGACCTGTTTCTTATATCAAACGTTGCTCAACGTCTGCACTCTAAAAATATCTTTATTGTAGCAGGAGATAAAAACAAATGACGGACGTTTATATATTATAATATTGTCCTATCCTAACAAACCATACATCAATGGAAAGCTGATATGTATAAATCAATTTCCAAAAATGGACCCTTATGACTGGTTTTGTGGCGCAGGGTCACACATAACATTGTTAGCGAGAAATCACTATTGCAGTAAATAAATATTCACTTAGTTATCACCAAAGCTCTCTATATTTTGCTGTAGGTCTTTAAACCATTACGCTGCCTCAGAAGTCTGTCTGAAATCAGTTCCGTGAGGCGCCTGTAATAAAGTGCAATAATGTCTACTGTTGAGATCTTTACTGGCCTGAAGTGACCATGTTTTCCTCACTCGATGGAAAATAAAGTTTGTGGTTATTTTGTAAAGAACTATAACAAATGATTATTTTTCGAACTAAACTGGAAACTCTGATTTCATTAAACGTATCTTCATTTCTGTTTTGGAATGACGTGAGTGTGAGTAAATTACTATTTAGATTCTTTACAGTAAAGAAAATATAGTATACTAAAACCTTATTTTACATAAAATAAATATTTTACAAAATATATTGCACTCTAAAATTGCTATAAAATCAAAGCCATATGTCTAACCAAGTTATGTTCCAAATTTGAAGTTGATATCACAAAAATTGAGAGATTTTATTTGGGTGCTGTACCAAAAATACCCAAAACTCTACTGAATTTTTTTTTACGCATTTTTCTGTCCCAAATCGATCAATTTCTGTCACGATATCACTTCTACCGCAAAACAGTCACCAAATATGAAACCTTGACTGTCAGAGCTTTCCAACGATATGTTTTGTCAGCATTAAAAAAGATTTTATTATAAAATAGCATAGTACATTTTGTAGTATGAAACCTGACACCATCCACTAGGGGGAGGAGCTAGCTAAGAGGATTTTTAAAGTACTGTTTCCATGGTAACGCAATGTCTGATTCCAAAACGGTTCTCACAGGATGAATTTTGTGTTTTTAAGCTTTCAAGTTACCTAGTTCAGGGTGATTACTAAAATATTTGATAGAGTAAAAACGCAATTTAAAAAAAGAGTGCCAAGCATCCCGGCAGCGGAACAGTGACGGTTTGAGGAATAAGAGAAACTTCATCCAATGTGAAATGCTCCAAGTGAAACCGAAAGTGTTTACGAATGAAATTACACACTTACCGCACATTAAATGTGAAAAACAGAAAGATCTTTAAAGTCTTCCTCATATTGCAAATTCCATCAAAATCTGATATTAACACCGAACCACTCCCACCCGGCTGACAGCGACATTTGTTAAAAATTGCTACTTACTAAAGACGAAAATGTAAGTTTTTTTTTTCTTTTATTATAGTAAATAATAAAGTCATGCTATGCATTTATGACTTATGCTACTGTAACAGAGCGTTCATACAGGGTTCGCCTATACACTTGAGTATAATAAACGGTGGCTATTAACTAACAGTGTTAATCCGAAATCCTCCAGCTTTATCAGACTTGACACACATGCGGGGAACCCCGAAAATTTGATATGTTACGACGGTAACTTTTTCTTTTTAACACATCTCAAACTATAATAATAACTGCATTAGCACCATCTGCGGTTTGCATCCACTAAAGATCGCTTTTTTTTTTTCTCTTTCTCCGAGTCGATCAACAAAACTGTACTGGACAACGACAGAAATACAGACATTGAACAGGCACAATAGGCTAATGCATTCAACTCGAAAAACTACAAGTTCCAAAATATTATTTTGAATAATATTTTACAAAGCTTTGTTTAAAATATTGAATACATTTCCAACATTTATTTATTTTCATAAATGCAGAAATATTGTAATGAAGCCATGCGTGTGGATGCATAAGTGCTGCCTATGCATCCACACGCCTTCGTCACGCATGGCTTCATATTATGAGGGCTTTATTATGAGAGCGTAGTCAGACAGGCTGGGGTCAGTACCAGCAAACAGTGATAAATGGGGCAAGACAAAAGAGTACTCCAGAATACAGAGAAAATAAGACGAGAAAAATTTACTAATCCCGTGCGAATAGGGCTTAAGACTTGGAACGGCTCTGTAAACAGTGTTGCCAACTGCTTTCAAACGAAAGTAGCTAAAACTGGTAGCCAAATATCACTAGATGACATCACAGTGGCAAATTCACTGATCTATATAAAGATGAATGTAGATCAGTGGGCAAGATGAGAACTTAGATAAGGTTTGTCCAAGAAGTTGCTGTGTTTGTCCCTAAACTTTTGAAAAAAGTGTCAAAAGGGGCAGGGAAGTCGCTAAATCTAGCTACAAAGTAGCTAAATTGACAACACTGTCTGTAAAGTAGCTAAACAGCGATGCATGCATACAATACTTGACCCCGAATGATGGTGAGTGTGTGTGTAATCAGTCGCTGTGACTGGCTACAGGGCTGAGGGGGCCCGGCCCGGCCACTGTGCCCCCTCACCTCTGGTGCCGTCTCCGTAGTGAGCGCCCTGACTTTAGTCGGTGAGGCAAGGTACTGCCCTGGGAAGGTCTCCCAGGCTGTTAAATACACAGATTAAAAGCGAAATGTTCGAATTATGCCTTTACTGTATGACCAAAAATGAGGGAGTAGTGTATTTGATGTTTCAGCTGTTTGATCGCGCCGGCACCTCGCGCGCACTAAGCTGCTGCATTCATCTGAAACAGCAGCCGGTCACCGTGCTGTTCGGCGCGAGACCCGGTGCCGGTCCACTGTGGCATATTTTTGCTCATTATGATATTTTTCCGTCGATACTGGAACGCGCGTGAACTACAAAGCCTATTTTACCTAATAAGGCTAATAGTTTAGCTTCAGCTACATCTCGAATATGGACACATTTGGATTTGTGCCTGATTTGATGTTTCAGCTGTTTGATCGCGCCGGCGCCTCGCGCGCACTAAGCTGCTGCATTCATCTGAAACAGCAGCCGTTCACCGTGCTGTTCGGCGCGAGACCCGGTGCCGGTCCACTGTGGCATATTTTTGCTCATTATGATATTTTTCCGTCGATACTGGAACGCGCGTGAACTACAAAGCCTATTTTACCTAATAAGGCTAATAGTTTAGCTTCAGCTACATCTCGAATATGGACACATTTGGATTTGTGCCTGAGAGAAGTAAGCCCAACTTTAATTACGTTTCTTTATAAATGTATTTGTTTTGGCATGTTTATTGCTAAGCATATATTATTATATACTGCAATTATATTTATCCATTAGAATTATATATTTTTAAATTCTTATTCTGTTCTGATACGGTTACATTTAAAGGATTTGTTGTAAAGTGAGGGGAACTAAATTATCCTATAGTGTTCACAATGTTGGTACATAACAACATTATTAGGCCTGCCGTTATTATCTCTGAAAATGCAACTTATACGAGACGTATCTTTTTTTTTTTCTTCAAAAAAAAATTTCAAAAATGTTTTACTGTGTTTTTTAAAGCATGCAGCAAATCTCGAATATGGACACATTTGGATTTGTGCCTGAGAGAAGTAAGCCCAACTTTAATTACGTTTCTTTATAAATGTATTTGTTTTGGCATGTTTATTGCTAAGCATATATTATTATATACTGCAATTATATTTATCCATTAGAATTATATATTTTTAAATTCTTATTCTGTTCTGATACGGTTAAATTTAAAGGATTTGTTGTAAAGTGAGGGGAACTAAATTATCCTATAGTGTTCACAATGTTGGTACATAACAACATTATTAGGCCTGCCGTTATTATCTCTGAAAATGCAACTTATACGAGACGTATCTTTTTTTTTTTCTTCAAAAAAAAATTTCAAAAATGTTTTACTGTGTTTTTTAAAGCATGCAGCAAATGAAAATATGCGATTAATCTGTTAAAATGTGTAACTGTGGGTTAACAAATTTAGATTAGTAGGCTATTCTAATGCTTGGCTTCACAGATAGCAACAGAGTCTGGGGCACGTTCCAGCTCAAACCGGTGTGCACCGTTTTGCTACGGTTTCCGTTTTGAACGACATGTTTGCTGGAAACGGTGTGCAACGGGTTAGAGATGCGTTTTCTCTTGTTTGGTGGGTGTGTCACACACATCAGCCCAATCAGCAGCAACCTGTATATAAACCACGCGGTATTAAAGAGACAGCTGCACAATGTAATTAACATCTAAATAAATTCACAAGAGCAAGTATATTGTTTGCACGTTTATTTACATTAAAGGCTAAATAACTGAAATAGTAAGAGCACAAGTATAGATCTGGAACTTCTTTAAGTCTGTCTAAATATCATTTAGTAATTGTAATGTCTTCTGGTCCACACCCTTTCCTCAGTAAGGTGTGCTCGACACTGATTAATGCAACATAAAAATACTACACATATTTATATATTTTGCTATTGTACTGTGGAGTGACACTTTCATAAACTTTTCTATACTCCTCTGATTATATAATGGTAAATATTACAATAGCACAACAACAGTGCTCAGCAATAATGATAAGCCTAATACTCACAATAAAAATAATAAGGCCATATAGATCATAACACAGTCTCGGAGGTAAGAAGTGGATTATCCTTCACCTGAAATGCGAGGCAGATGTTGCATCACAATAATTAGGAACCACAGTTTGCACAAACCCCTTTTTTTCTCCATTCTGTCACCGATGGAGTTTTGTTTCCTTGCCGCTGTCGCCTCTGGCTTGCTTAGTTGGGGGCACTTCATTTCCAGCGTTATCGTTGACATGATTGCAAAGATATTATTTAATATTAGCTGGATGTTGACATCACTGAATTCAATGATGAACTGTCTTTAACTGAAAAATGAGTGTTTACTATTGTCATTTTGCATTATTGACACTATTTTCCTAATTAATGCTGTTCAGTTGCTTTGTCACAATCTGTATTGTTAAAAGCGCTATATAAATAAAGGTGACTTGACTATATATCAGATTATTTTATTTGCAAGTTTCATGCTTGTGTTTATCCCGTTTTTTTTCCCCCTTGCATCTGAAAATTACTTTAAGAAAAAATTCAAATCAGTGTAGTGTGAAATGGATCATGGGAAATGTAGTCCGGGGTGAAAGGGTGATACAGTCTGTGTGGTGAAGGGGACCTCTGGTGGTGAGCGGGAGGAGTTACGGGGACCGGATTCGTGACGGATATGTTGTTCAGCTCAAGTGTTGATGATGTGACAAAGATTGACAGTGGTGGGCGTGTCTTATTAAAGTGAACTCGTCCCCTGCTGCGCATCCTCTTCATCCACACCCTCTTGAGACAGCAGTGAGACCATTTCCACCGAACCCTTCACTTTTTTTTCTGTGGAAGCTAAAAAAAATAGAGATCACAGAAATGAAAAAGTAAGAAAAAAACAATTCTGCTACATATACATCTACACATGGATGATGCTACAGCTCCACTCGATTGTCCCTACACATGCTGAAAACAACAGAACATTAAACAAAATATAATGACAAAATATAAAGATAATATTTTTACAATATGAATCTATAGACGTCTTTCCTTGAAAACCTAAAAAAATCACTTCGTTCCTCTTCCATTGGCTTCAGAAGATAGATGGATGGACAGATTATTGATAAATAAAGACTCAATAAATAAAGCATCTTCAGGTCTACTTTATTTTAGGGGTGTGTGGTATTTATTGTCTACGATATCGATTGTTGTTTTACTCACTTGGCAACAAAGACTTTTCAAAAAAGCATTCACTGCTTGATGAAGCCTATCAGAATGCAGTTATGAATGAGCCAGATTTGTAAATTATTCCATTCCTTTTTTACTCACAATTTGTACAGTGTCCCAACTTTTTTGGAATTGGGTTTGAATAATACAGTGCTGTAAAATCACACAAGCAAGAGTGACTTTTCCCCGTGAGCATCAGTGATATAAATGTGATATTGATTTTTATACAGTTCAGCAGATAAGAAATTAAGTTACATTTAGACACAATATTGTCTGTTTTTTTCTGTTTTGCCAACTACAATAATCCCAAACAAAGTCGATTGGTGAAGCTGATTGGATGGTTCTTGTCACATGACCTGCGGTGTGCTTGCGGCATTCTAAAAAGTTCTCGTCTTCATCTAGACAGCATCAATTCTATTGTAAGCATACTTGGCACAAAATTACATTTAAAATAACAAACTTGAGTGCACAAAAGACATGTGATGTCTTAGTGAACGGCCCCATAGTGTCATATTTATGGGATGAACAAGCACATACAAGTGGAACACTTTCTTGGAACGCCAACCAATCAGATTTGAAGACCAGTACTGTTGTTTAAATGTGTATTAATTAGAATAAATGTTGTTCTACTCACCTTCGATCACATTGAATCTCCTGAATCTGTTCCGTTCGCTGTTGAGGACCTGTAGTTGAAAATGTCCAAAGTCTGCATTGGTGAGGTTTGTGATGGTCAGAGATCCATTGAGCAGCAGATCATTCAGCTCCAGTTTGCCTCTGAAGCTCTCACTAATACAAATTTTTCCTGATTCGGCTTTAACAATGAGACTGTTTTTAACTCCAAAGGTCCACAGTATCAGATCTCCTTTCTGTATTTCAATATTGGTCTTTAGAGTGACCGAGTGTCCAACCTTCCCTGACACGTTCTCCACTTGATGTCAAAGCAACACAGAAACGCAAATACAGAAATCAAAGTGTGCATGAATTTAATTTGCATTTTCAACAAATTCATTTTGATGTTTATGTTCGTAGTTTCAGCTCATCTGAAATCTGAATTACCTATGATTCATCATCACTTTTCTTGTAATCTTGTGATTTCCCTCAAAATATTTCTGCAATATAACTCCTTTAAGGCTCATTCACACCAAGAACAACAACTATAAAGATAACTATATTAGCATCCACACAAACGCACAATATTGTTCTTTTTATTATAAGCACACGCTGCAGTTTTGTCATTTCGAGCTTTAAGTGCTCGAGCTCTTCAAAGCAGGATAGATTGGGATTGGCTGTCAATATTTTTATCGCTTATCAGCTGAAAAATTATTTTGAAAGTTATTCCATTTATATCGTTCTGTGTCGTTAACATTATAGTTGTGGTGTGGGCACTATTCTTTTGAATTTAGAAAGATTTTTATTAATATCTTGTTATTGTACATGGCATGAACAGACCTTTAGTTTCATAACTTTAGTATATTTGTGTAGGCACTTTTCACAATACACACTGTTTTGAAGCAGCTTCACTGAAATTCATAATGTTATTTTTAAAACATATATTAATGCCTCAGTTCAGAGAGAGGCGATACAGTGGGGAAAATATTTATTTGATCCCCTGCTGATTTTGTAAGTTTGCCCACTTACAAAGAAATGAAGGGTCTGTAATTTTTATGGTGGGTTTATTTTAACGTATAGAGAGAGAATACCAACCAAAAAATCCAGAAAAAAACACATTATATAAAGGTTAGAAATAGATTTGGATTTCAGTGAGTGAAATAAGTATTTGATCCCCAAGCAAAACATAACTTAGTACAAAGTGCAGAAACCCTTGTTGGCAAGCACAGAGGTCAGACGTTTCTTGTAGTCAGTCACCAGGTTTGCACACATCTCAGGAGGGATTTTGATCCACTCCTCTTTACAGATCCTCTCTAAATCCTTAAGGTTTCTTGGCTGTCGTTTGGCAACTGGAAGTTTCAGCTCCCTCCACAGATTTTCTACAGGATTGAGGTCTGGAGGCTGGCTAGGCCACTCCAGGAGCTTAATGTGCTGCTTCTTGAGACACTCCTTTGTTGCCTTGGCGGTATGTTTCGGGTCATTGTCATGCTGGAAGGAGGTTCTCGTCCAAGATTTTACAGTACATGCCCCGTCCATTTGCCCCTCAATGCGGTGAAGTCGTCCTGTACCCTTAGCAGAAAAACAGCCCCAAAGCATAATGTTTCCAGCTCCGTGCTCGACTGTAGGGATGGTGTTCTTGGGGTCACAGTCAGCATTTCAGCACTTCTCTCCCTCCAAACACGGCGAGTCGAGTTAATGCCAAAGAGCTCAATTTTGGTCTCATCTGACCAAAGCACTTTCTACCAAGCCTTCTCTGGATCATTTAGATGTAAATCGGTCTGTACATGTGTCTTCTTGTGCAGGGGGACCTTGGGTGCGCTGCAGGATTTCAATCCATTGCGGCGTAGTGTTTCCAATGGTTTGCTTGGTGACTGTGGTTCCAACTGCCTTAAGATCATTAACAAGCTCCTCCTGTGTACTTCGGGGCTGATCCCTCACCTTTCTGATGATCATCCTTTTCCCATGAGGCGAGATCTTGCTCAGAGCTCCAGACCGAGGCCGATTGATGGTTTTGTATTTCTTCCATTTCCGAATAATCGCACCAACAGTTGTGTCCTTCTCACCAAGCTTCTTGCTGATGGTCTTGTAGCCCATTCCAGCCATGTGCAGATCTACAATCTTGTCTCTGACATGCTTTAACAGCTGTTTGGTCTTGCCCATGGTGGTGGGAGAGGTTGGAATGGAAGATACAGATTGTGTGGACAGGTGTCTTATACACCTAACGAGCTGACATTAGGAGTAACTTCTTGATCACATTTATTTGAATGAATTATAGCATTTATTTTCAATTAATAGGACTAATCAGTGTTCCACATGGGCACATAACCAATCTGTGGGAGACCGAATTCTTGCTGGTTGGTAGGGGATCAAATACTTACTTCACTCACTGAAATGCAAATCAAAACCTTTGTATAATGTGTTTTTTCTGGATTTTTTAGTCGGTATTCTGCCTCTATCCATTAAAATAAACCTACCATAAAAATTACAGACCCTTCATTTCTTTGTAAGTGGGCAAACTTACAAAATCAGCAGGGGATCAAATAAATATTTCCCCCACTGTAGAATAGTTCACACTTGGTGATGATATAACAGTCAAGTGTTTGTTATTGTTTTTTTACTTACACCAAAATGAATCTATTCTGGTAATGTTACGACTTTATATCTTACATTTTTATTTTAACAATGAAAAACATTCAAATTGAACAGTAACTAAAATTACGTTGCACTTTGGGAATTTGTTCAGATCATCTGTTCAGTGCATGATTGTTGATCTACTCACCATTGACAGTAACAATGAATCTCTTGTTTTTGATTCTGTTTTTGCCGCTGATCTGTACTTTGTAGAATCCAGAGTGAATGGTCCTGATATAACTGATAATGAGATCTCCAGTCCTACCACCCAGCTGCACTTTGTTTCTGAATCTCTCGTCAGTAACATCACAATTTATATCAGTGGTTTTAATGGCCCATTCACTGTTTTGGGTTATGGGATTATCTCCAAACCACCACTTTATCTCATCACCGTTCTGTAGTGTAGTACCAGTGTTTAGAACGACAGTTCTTCCTTCCATTTCTTCCACTTTCTCTTCTTCAGCTGTTACAGTGGCACATAGAAACAGAACAGAAATGTGTTCAGAAGATCAAGCTTACCTTTACAAAGAGCATATTTTGGCATGTTGCTAAGATGTTTTAACTCATTGCTAGCCTGTTACTAGCATGTTTTAACATGTTGCTGACATGTTTTAACACATTGTATTTTTCTAATACGTTTTAGGACATTGTTAGCAAGGATGGGCCGTATTTCAGATACATGCATTTAAAATAAGTATTTATAATACAAAATACTATTTTGTATTTTAAAGCCTTTGGAAAAAATCAAATGTAATTAGTATTTAAACATTTAACATGAGTATTTTTATATTTTCAAAAATACATAAAATACTTTGTGCCAGTCAACCTCTTCATCAGGGTGCTGATTTCATGCATCAACTAGTTCAGACACGCCCCCTCCCCTCCCCCAACCCCAACATTCATGCATATGAGCTACAGCTGTACAACTCTGCATTGGATCAGCCACTTTTCTGGAATAAGGGGAGGATGCCTTCAGTTAACATGAAAGTATAGCTGGTAGGGACTACAATGAGCTACTTCCTGGGTTTGTGACATCACAAACCCTACAATTTACATAAAGCCTGCCCCCGAGAACACGCAGCAAAGGGGGTGTGGTGCTGCTTGTGGTGCTGCTTGGGGGACACACACTCCTGATGGCTCGAGCTGAGCCGAGTCTCCCGGGGGAGAAGTTTGCTTATATCGTGGGCAATAGTCAGAGGAGAAAAAGAGCTCTGTTGATGAGGTATGTTCCTCTTTGTGTTTACTGCAACCAACATTGGCAATACAATAGTCAAACAAGAATGTGCTCTCTTGATCGCTGGCCTGTCGTACAGACCATGCTCTTTTCCTCCTGGCACAAACACCAGGAATGCGGAGTCTCCTTGTCTGCCGGGTGCCCTTGCTGACGCTGTAGCGCTATTTCTTGTGCGATCTCTGTCGAAGCGGCAGCTGCGCTCAGAGCTGAGGCACAGCCTGCGTACCCAGCTGGCCGCTGTGCTGACGATGACCTCGATGAGCCAATTAACCAATCTGAGACCATTGAGTATTTCTAAGGGAGAGGCTTCATAGCACTAGGAAGTCAATAGAACAGACCATTTTTATGAGAATGGAAAAAGCGGTGTAAAATAAAATTTTTTTTTAAAGTAGCATGAACACATGCCTGCTTTCCTCTTTTACATCACCTACACACACACACGCACACACACACAAGTCCGGTGAGAGAAAACAAAGTCAATAGTTGTGGAACTCCGGTAAGTAAGGCTGTCAAGACTATTTTATTCACTTAAACATCTGAGGTAAAAAAGGCCACACACGGGTTATATTCATGTGTCTTAGTTTCCCTTGCAATACACTACAGTCCCGCGGGGTCCCGCCCACTGAGTTAGAACGATCGGGAAAGCGGACGGATGCTAGTAGTACTGTAGCGATTTATCTTTGCTAAAGTTGTGTGCGTGCCTATAAAGTAAGTAACAGTCTGTTCATCCATTGCTTTCTGCATTGTTTGTTAACGTTTAACTGCTCCGGGTGTTTATAAGTTAATGTATGTGGGTGACAAAGACGAACTAGCATGGAAGATGTTCATGTGTATTTACATACTAGTTTCCTCACATATATTACCATTATGAAGTCGTGGCCTAATGGTTAGAGAGTCGGACTCATAACTCGCTCATTTCTGAGAGTTAAAGCACTCTTTTGGCGCATGCGCACTAATGTTCTAGACAGAGCGGCTCCATCTCGGTCCTCAGCGCTGAGAGGTGTCAGATTTCAACTGATTACTCATTATTAGTCATTTCTAGCAGCGCATCTTCCCATATAATGGCACATTTGTTTTCTTCTTTGAATGTTTAATTACTGTATTTAATATATTCTTTGTGCAAATATTGTGTTCTTATATTTGTGACCACTGTTATTTGTTATTTGTACTTATGTATTTTTCCTTTATCTTTAATTTGTAGAAAGCCAAACAAACATGAAAAACAAAATTTCTTCAGTGTACTGAGTTTGTGGTGACAATAAATGGGTTATTCCCGCATACCTGATCATCTGTGGTAAAGTCTCTAACCGGTCGCTCCATAGTGGGTTTGTTATCAACCGGCAAATTAACAACCAGGAAGAAGAGCTACCAGTAGCCATTCATTTTTAAATAGTCCTTCGAGCTGGAGGCCCTGCTTATCGCTGATTCATACAGTCATTCCCAAAAACCCTTCACAAAGACCATGGCAGCACTGGATCAGCAATACGGACAGCTGCATCAGCTCGTGTTGCAACGCATAGCAGACTCATGGATGGTCCAAACATAGCCAGTGGGGACATTAAAGCATTCCGTTCGTTCCCTCGTTGGCATGCTAGAGCAACTAGGAAGGAAGGGCACCTTTGAGTTGCAGTGTGGCTCACATGTCTCCCGGCTCCTGGGGAAGCTGCCGCACGACCTCAGGTCAAGTTTCCGATGCTTTGCACATCCACACCAAGTGCCAGTCCCCACCCTTCTTGATCTGTCAGAGTGGCTAGAGTATGAAATTCAAGTGCAGCAGGACACATCAAGGTTCGTAGGAGCCAGTCGTCGTGGATATCCAGCACGAACACGAGAGGTAATCAGAGACTCTAAGCCATCAGCTAAAAGTGCCACCATTCTGCTTGGCACAGAGAAAGTGCCACCACAAACACTCCCTCAACAATTGCAACAACTTTAAGCAGCTTACCGTTGACCAGAAATGAAACTGGATCAAAGACTGCGACAGATGCTGCCGCTGTGGGAGGAATCATCAAGTTTCAGAGTGCAATCTGAGAATGCGCTGCAAACAGTGTAATAGCTGTCACCTGCTGGTCCTTCATGACATCAATCCCAGGAGTGCAGACCTCCCAAAGACTACCCTAAATGAAGGTACTTCTGCTAATGCCCGTCTCCTCAACACTATGAACGAGATACTTCTCATTTCGGTAGCCTCCTGCCAGCCGAAAGGTTCTTCTGAAGATCGTTAAGGTCATTCTCCGAAACGGGGCACACAAGATGAAAGCTTATGCCATCTTAGATTATGGATCGGAAAGGACCATCCTTTTGCACAATGCTGCTCAACAGCTGGGCCTAAAAGGTCAGCCAGAAGATCTTCGGAATATTTGGGTTGAAGTGTTCTGGAACAGTGTGTAAATACAACTTAACCACTGATTTCTAGTCGTGTCCTCTCTTGGAAAACCAAACAAAGTAGTTTCGCTTTCACAACGAAACACGGCGGGCTAGAGTGAGCAGAGGCGGGCGGCTTGAGAACGGCGCAGCCAGCGGATTCGACGAAGGAGGCTTGCGGCAACCACATGTGACGACCCCGGGCTGGATATCGTCCTCTTTTGGAAGGCCAAACAACATCAACGACATGGTGGTGGCGGCAGCAACAATACTACAGCGAGAATAAGTTACTTTGCGTGAACATTTGGGCGGTGTTATGCAAATCTTCCCACATAGTGATGTAGACGTGTGGGGGCGTGTTAGAACGAGCCATTTTAGGTAGGCGTGGTTAACTCTTAACTTTTATAAAGAATATCTCTTTGGATTTGAGACTTTAGTCTTTGCAACTTTACAGATCTTCTTTATGCACCAAGAGCACTTGTAACACTCCAAAGAGAAAGGAAAACTTGAAATCGCATCATATGACCCCTTTAAAAACACTTGGTCTTAACTTTCACTTTACCAAATACCAAAGCCCACTAGACAGTGACCATGTGCTGATTCTGAATGCGTCTCTCACAGACTGACAAAGGAGTATACTTTAAAGGCTTGTTTGCGAAATGTAGCTTTGTGCTCGTGTATCCTACCTCTCTCATTCGGAACACAAAAGGTTCTAAGCAGTAATACCACTGTAATACTTACCCACTTGTTTTTGTAGTTGAGAGATCATGCGGCGATAGTAAATCACAACAGCAGCTAAAAGTCCAGCCAACAGCAGACCAGCAACAACTATTCCAGCTATGACAGCTGATGACCAACCAAAATCAGCTGAAAAGAGACAGTAAATTATTAGAGGACAAAATATTTTTCATGATTCGGGACTGACAGGTGTCAGGTAGTTGACATGTACAGTATATAGTATACAACATGTTACATCCTTACTTTCCACGTTAATTTATAGTTGACCTTAGGCTTGCTTTAGTAATCTGTGTTACTGGTGTTACACTGTGTTCGTCCATACACCGATCACATTACTTGCTGCTGTCATTTGACTGACAAGACCACGGCAGGGGATTTGGTGCGCAACAGATCCTGAGCGTCATTGACAAATATATTATCTTGTAAAATGTGCGCTCCGTACCGCCGCTCCCTGCGGGTGATCTGTGCGGGCAGGGACGGACTTACCAATTAGGCAAAGGTAGGCGACCGCCTTGGGCCCCCAAAAGCCAAGGGCCCCCTAAAATGCTTTTCATATAGGATATGCGCATTAAGCGCTGACACGTGAACGGTTGCTGTTTACGGTGTTTGTTACCACGATAACCGTCCGAGTCTGTGGCGCCTGCAGGTGTACGGCACTGTGAGTCATGAGCGCTCAGACTGACCTCAGATTTGCCCCGCTAACATTTCAGCAGTTATTATAGGCCTGTGTCCCGTATTTCTGTCGACTGAACCAGCCATGACATTAATTATGAATTTATCAGTCTTTTGCATGCCAAAGTCAATTTCTGCATGGAAATATGACGCTAAATAGAAGCAGAAAATCGTGCTATAGCCTACGCACTTTCGTGAGATCGGGTTAGCCTACAACAATGAATTTGTTGGCTATTTTACACACGGGAATACAACGAATTCATGACAATGTTTACATTCAAGCTACCCGTAAAATGTATTGTGAAAAGTAGGCTACTTTAAAAGCGTCTGAAACGCAATAAATTTTAAAGCTGTTTTTAAAGCATTTGCTGCATGGATATAAAAAAATAGGCTAATAAATTATTCGCATATCAGACAAAATTGCGTTGCAGCAAATCCTTTAAATTTTAAGGTATTCAGAACAGAGCAACATAAAAATCTGAAAATATAAGCATCTAGGCTACAGTTATAGGACAAAATTGAACATATGCCATTATAATTTGTGTTTTATTTTTTAATTGTATGGAATTTTTATACGGAATTATAAAATGCAATTTATAATCAGGCCTGTTTTAGGCTTTTCCTTATTTTTATAACGTTTGTTTTCTTTATTTTATAAAAGCATAACGTTTGGTTGATATTGTGAGTGCACACAAATAAAACTAGACCCTTTACAGTTCTGAATGATGTATTACTCTTACCTTTATGAGCAAAAATGACTGCCTATTTTAAGTTGTTTCCGCTGTTAGAAAAAAATGCAAGTGATCACAGTAGCGCCTCCGTGTCCTGCAGAGCGCTTCAGCTTCCACTCTCCGCACAAACTATTAGATATGCGTCTAACAGCGCACATTTATATAGGTTAAACATTTAAACTAACATTGTTATATGCTTGAACTTTTATTTTAGGCAAGTCCTGATGATTTGAGAAGGCTAAATTGATCAAACATGCTATGATCAATTCACTGTCGCTGGTCGTTATTTATAAAACAAACAAACAACAACTTACATTTAGCCTAACGAACAAAAAATGCTCCAAACATTTTTCTAAATTTACTTTATAAAAAAAAACGAAACGAAATGTAATCACTTTTAATAACTGAAACAGTAGCGGACTTACCAATTAGGCAAAGGTAGGCGACCGCCTTGGGCCCCCAAAAGCCAAGGGCCCCCTAAAATGCTTTTCATATAGGATATGCGCATTAAGCGCTGACACGCGAACGGTTGCTGTTTACGGTGTTTGTTACCACGATAACCGTCCGAGTCTGTGGCGCCTGCAGGTGTACGGCACTGTGAGTCATGAGCGCTCAGACTGACCTCAGATTTGCCCCGCTAACATTTCAGCAGTTATTATAGGCCTGTGTCCCGTATTTCTGTCGACTGAACCAGCCATGACATTAATTATGAATTTATCAGTCTTTTGCATGCCAAAGTCAATTTCTGCATGGAAATATGACGCTAAATAGAAGCAGAAAATCGTGCTATAGCCTACGCACTTTCGTGAGATCGGGTTAGCCTACAACAATGAATTTGTTGGCTATTTTACACACGGGAATACAACGAATTCATGACAATGTTTACATTCAAGCTACCCGTAAAATGTATTGTGAAAAGTAGGCTACTTTAAAAGCGTCTGAAACGCAATAAATTTTAAAGCTGTTTTTAAAGCATTTGCTGCATGGATATAAAAAAATAGGCTAATAAATTATTCGCATATCAGACAAAATTGCGTTGCAGCAAATCCTTTAAATTTTAAGGTATTCAGAACAGAGCAACATAAAAATCTGAAAATATAAGCATCTAGGCTACAGTTATAGGACAAAATTGAACATATGCCATTATAATTTGTGTTTTATTTTTTAATTGTATGGAATTTTTATACGGAATTATAAAATGCAATTTATAATCAGGCCTGTTTTAGGCTTTTCCTTATTTTTATAACGTTTGTTTTCTTTATTTTATAAAAGCATAACGTTTGGTTGATATTGTGAGTGCACACAAATAAAACTAGACCCTTTACAGTTCTGAATGATGTATTACTCTTACCTTTATGAGCAAAAATGACTGCCTATTTTAAGTTGTTTCCGCTGTTAGAAAAAAATGCAAGTGATCACAGTAGCGCCTCCGTGTCCTGCAGAGCGCTTCAGCTTCCACTCTCCGCACAAACTATTAGATATGCGTCTAACAGCGCACATTTATATAGGTTAAACATTTAAACTAACATTGTTATATGCTTGAACTTTTATTTTAGGCAAGTCCTGATGATTTGAGAAGGCTAAATTGATCAAACATGCTATGATCAATTCACTGTCGCTGGTCGTTATTTATAAAACAAACAAACAACAACTTACATTTAGCCTAACGAACAAAAAATGCTCCAAACATTTTTCTAAATTTACTTTATAAAAAAAAACGAAACGAAATGTAATCACTTTTAATAACTGAAACAGTAGTATACACCTTTTTTGGGGGAAAAGGGGAAAAAAGGCCTATATCTGAGGCCCGTGCAGGGCGCTAATTCACTTCATCCAACGTTTTGTTCTCATCTGTGAGCATGCTCTTGATTATATGTATTTTACCATTTTGTTGAGTTTAAAATGTGACACATTCGTCCTGCTCTCACTGATCATTTGGTCCCCCCCCCCCACCACAACATGAAACAAAGCCATTATAACATGTACATGAAAAATGTAGAAGCATTGGACACAACTGTGGGGCACTATTGTGCAGCAGCAAGCATCACAACAAAAAAGGAACCTCAAGTTTGATCTAGGAAAATGTGTGCAAATGTATAGGGCCCCATTCCTATATATTGCCTGGGGCCCCCAATTCACTAAATCCGCCCCTGTGTGCGGGTGATCACGAATTGGAAAGCGAAAGTAAAAGCGAGCGCATTCAGTATCGTGCATAATGAGCAGCTCCCTGATGCTTGCAAATTAACTATCTACTGCATTTGAGATCATGGGAGACACTCTCGGTTTGGGGAAATTCCCCTCAAAAAGACTGAAACAAATCATTTCAAATCATAAGGTTGTGCTTTCACCTTTATTTTCAGCCGTCAGGAGAATAACGTATTTATTGTGACATGACCTAAGAAGAATATCAATTGCAAGAACTCTATTCAGTCCTGATTATTTTATTTTTTCCTTCTTATTCCGCTGTAACAATATAAAAAGACAACATGCTGCGCATTTGTTGTCTGCTCTCACAATTTAACAATATATCCAATGAATAATTAACTGGAATCTCTCGTTTTTCTCTCCAAAGCCTTTGTCTCTTTCCAGGTTTGTTTTCACATGGACGCTTTAAAATGTTTAATTAGCAGTGTTTATTGGAAGGTTTCTACAGAATGTTTGTTATCTCCATTAACAAAATGACAGAAATCACTTAATTACTGTGCTGATTTTTGATTAAGGCAATGTATGTTAGATGATATGATATAAACATCACGGGAAACACGTGGATATGCAGATATTTTTTCCAAATGTTTTTTTTTTTTCAAAACCTAAATTCTTACATATTCTTACATTTGAGTAGCCTACTTATTTCAGTAAGTTGCCAAGGAAACATCTTTTCTTTTTTTACTTGTAAAAAATTATATGATCGATAAGTAATGCCAACATATGTTTTTGTTACTTTTACTTATTAAAATAAGTTAACCATGTTTCAACTTCATTTTTTAAGTTATGCAACATTCAACTGTTTTAAGTAAGTTCAATTTAATGTAAGTTGAAATGACTTGTTGATAAGTTTAAGGCAGCAACTATCAGTCCTGTGTTCCCGTGTCTTGCGTTTTTCTCTCCATGTTCTCCCCGTGACCTAGTTTCTCCCTCATGTCTGATTATGTTCATTAGTTCCAGGTGTGTCTTGTTAGTTCCTTGATTAGTCCCATAATTTAAGCCCTGTGTGTTTCCATGTCCAGGGTCCGGTATTGTTCATTGATTCCTGTGCTACATGTGTGTTCCTTGGTGTTAATAAAGTCTATATTTGTTCTGGATTCCCTCCGTCTCCTCGCTCCGACACAGTAGCAGAACTGTGACGGCAACTCATTTTTTACAGTTTAATATTTATTTTATTTTGCTGCTGATATCATATTACCTAGCCCTACTGTAAAGTATTAAAAACTTTTTTTTTGTATCTGTAGCCATGCTAATAGTAAGACATAGAAGCCAGCTTTTATTTCATGCTTATTTGATTATTTTCAAATACTTTCATTTGAAACTCACCACTGACAGAAACAAGGAACCGCTGTGAGCTCTCGCGGCCTCTGATCTGTACTTCATAAAGTCCAGTGTGTTCGGGTCTGGCGTTTGTGATGGTCAGAGATCCATTTTGTTCTAGTTGTAGTCTGTTTCTGAATCGTTCATCAGCATGATTTAATGAGAGCTTGTTAGTTTCTACATCGATTTTAGCTAGGAGGATGCCTTTATCTCCAAACCTCCATACTATCAGATCATTTTTCTGTAATTCAGTAGCATCATTCTGTAGAATGACAGATTCCCCTTCTGTAACGGACACTGACTTCACTCCATCCGTCTCAACAACCATATCTGGAAAACAAACAGACCAGAACTGATTTATAAAGATTTTTTGTACCGTCCATGTAAGATGCTTGCAGCATGAAATCATACCGTGTGATATCATGAAACCTGAAACAAGATCCTTTCATTAAATGAAAGAGATTCTCTTGAGATACTCACCAAAGACATCCACTTGAAATATCCTGGATGTGGTCTTTTCTCTAGAGATTGTTAGTTTATATTGTCCCGAGTGTCTGTTTCTGGTGTTTCTGATGGTGAGAGAGCCAGTTTTGTGGTCCACCTGCAATCTGCCTGCGAAACTCACTTCATCGGCGACAAAAACTGAGGTCAAGTCGTTCTTTCTCGCTATCTGAGATATGACCGATTCTTTAAGTCCAAACGCCCAGAGTATTGTATCATCGTTCAGTATTTCAGAAAGATTAGTATGAAGAATTACAGGATCTCCTTCCATCACTGACATTGTCTCATCTCTTTCTGCATTACAAACACCTGCAGAACATAAATGAATTATTATAGATTAGCTTAGTAACTTCACTGAACATGTAGCCTGTTGGGAAGAGTGAAATATTAATTGGATACTTCCCAAAACTATTTTTCTACGGCGTTGAAGTCATTTAATTTAACTAAATATTAAATTCCTTCATGGGTCATGCAATGTTAATGTGAGTAGGAACAATTAATTATGGTGTTTGCTCGAATGGGATGCTTATCTGTGTTGCGTGCTATGCTTTTGGGGAGTGCGTGAGGTACGTCAGCCTCAGACCACGAATGGACGCACATTTTCCCTTCTCTTCTTCCAGTCATTATTGGTATGGTTAAAAGTATTAATTTGGTCAAAATTCAGTAAATACAAAAGTAATATATACAAATATATACAAGTAATATATACAAATGTATTTTTGTGTATTGGTTACTTTATGTGAGTTTTATGTGACTTTTGTCTGGCGCACGTGGAGCTAGCAAACTCATGGTTTGTGCACAGTGTTTAACGGAAGAAGATTTTTCTCTTATCAAGTGTCCCATGTGTTTCAGATCAATAAATGGAACTGTTTTGAAGCTGGCCTACTGTCTCCAGAGTGAAATTCCTTATGTACAGAATCAGATCTGCTACATAAAACTGGTGCCGTGACCTTCTAGGATACAACCGATCAGCCGCCGCCGATCACCGGGGTTCGACCGTCTATGTGGGATTTTCGCGGTGACTTCCGTGGATTCTGCAAGCCGGCCGCAGTCGCTTGTCAGGTGTCAAGCCGAGGGTCGCGTCCTGCCTTCCAGTGTCAGATAATGAACTTCTCTCATCTCAGTTACATTGAATTTTTCATGACATTCTAAGACATTGACATTTGGATCAGACATTAAATCTTTAAGACACTGGATCAATTTACTTAAGCAGTTGATCAGTACAGAAAGTAAAATGTACAACATGTCTACACCAGTCTTGGGGAGAGGTAGAGGATTAATCAGTATAGATGGTGCTGTGAGACATAAGGAAAATAATCAAACTTGTAATGTTAATCTGCGCTACTCACAAGAGGGGGACAACATTAATTCTGGTGCTTCATTTACACCTGCTCCTATCATTGATGATTCTCGGCTGCAGTTTACAGAGCTCATTGAAGAGCTGGGTAGCCAAATTGGAGATTGCATTCTGGATAGGCTTTTAGCCGATCGTAGTCCTACTCTGGGGCATCAGACTAGCCCCTTGACAGTTAAAAGTGAGCATGCTATCACTACTCTTGACCTATCCAGGTTGAATCTGATTGTACGATCTGAAAATAGAGAACCTCCCATTTTCCGTGGTGATGGTACAGACAAACACTCTGTCCATGAATGGATAGAGTTAATGGAGGTATACTTACAAAAGTGTGACTGTCCAAAAGCTGAGCATTCCGGTGAGGTTCTGAACCACCTTTTGTGTAGAGCTAAAAACATAGTCAAAAATAGGGCTAAAAAGTAATCCCTCACTTGACAAGGTTGTTACCCTTGAAGCCATTTACAAAATGCTCTTACGTTATTTCAGTGAAAGCCCAGAGTCTTGTCTTCCACTTGCAGACTTCTACTCTACATTGCCACATGACAAAGAAAGCCCTGTTGACTATTGGATCTGTCTCAATAATGCGGCCGAAATCGTTGATAATCACTTGCAGAAACAAGGTAGTTGAATGAAGAACATTTCACAAGAAATCTCAATGATGTTTATTAGAAACTGCCCTGATGCTGAGCTTTCTAGTGTGTTCAGGTACAAGCCTATCACCAAGTGGTCATCGGCAGAGGTTCAGGAAGCGATAGGTGCGCATCAAAGGGTGCGGAGAACGAAGAAACCACACTCTTACTCTCTCCCTGGCTGTTCGTTCCAAGTAGCAACTGCCACAGTCAGCCATGCAGAGGCCACCACTGTGGTCAACGATGCAGTGAACACTGCAGTGTGCATCCCCAGTACCCAGACCACTAAGCCTGAGATCACCACACCGCCTCCACATACTGTCTTGACTGACACGGGTATGTTAGAGCGAGTGCTCAGCATGCTGGAGAGGGTGCTCGACTGCAGTAATACACAGGCTGCTCCTAATAGACCTCAATTGCACTCCTGGTCTCGTCCATCCAAATGTTGTGTTTGCGGCGAGAGAACCCATTCGACATGGTCACACTGCATGTCAGAGAAAAGATGTCTGATCTGCTTAGAAGTTGGTCACCAGCGCAGGGATTGCCCTAGGAAAAGTGTAGAGTCTGGGAGCTGCTCTCAGATTCAGGGAAACTGACACACCTGCATTTGAGAGGGGATAATGTGGGTGAAGAAGTTCAGACCCTCCAAGATGATGCATCAAGCATATATGAGTCGACTTGTAAGTCAGTGACAAGTGATAATATGGTTCTGTTTCAGAACGTGACCCGGTTGGCGCGGGCAGACAGCCTTTTCTATACTAACGTTTTAGTCAATGACAGCGTTCCTCTAAGAGCTTTGTTAGACAGTGGCTCTATGGCCTGCACCATCAGTGAAGTTGCAGAGTCCCGTCTACTTGATGCAGAGTATGTCTCTGGATCAGTGCGAGATGCAAGCCAATGTTATGCTGGTTGGATGTGGCGGAGTTCAAGTTGCGCCAAAGTGTATGTACCAGTTGAAGATGAGAGCGTATGAGTATGAAGTCAGTGTACCTACGCTGGTTGTTACAGGACAACGAGATGAGTTGATACTGGGCACCAACATTCTTAAATTCATCTTGAGCCAGTTTAAGCAGAACCCCACGTACTGGCGTGTTGTAAATAGGCCTGAATCAACGAAATATTATGATGTTGAACAGTTCCTTAACGTACTTTCTGGACTTAACAGATGGAGAGGCAATGAGATGCCTGACATCATAGGAAATGCCAAACTGGTTCAAGCAGTCACGTTGCTGCCTAAGCAGGAACACCTAGTGTGGGACAGGTTACCTCCTACATCGCCTATTTCTGAGGGCAGTGCTGTGTTGATTGAACCAACCAAGTCGCCAACCCATAAAAAAGATCTCATCGTAGGACGTGTGGTGGTTTCCATGACTGCTGATAGATGGGTACCAGTAAAGATGCTTAACCCGTATGACAAGCCCATCACCCTGAAAAAAAACTTGAAGGTTGTCAATGTTTCTTCTTGTGTGGGGTTGGAAAATTTGGAATTGTATTCAGAGCGACCCTTCAATACTGTCGAAACACTGAGTCAAACTCTGTATGATGGATCACCTGACCCAGACTTCCAGGACATTCTGCAGAAGATGGGATTGAGTGACTTAGACATTGACTCTTGCGAAGTGTCACCTCAATGGAAAGGCCAGTTATTGCGTTTGATCCAAAAGTTTGAACATGTATTCTCAAAGCACAAGCTAGACTGCAGGAGAGCGAAAGACTTTGAGCATTGCATCCATCTGTCTGACAACTGGCCTGTCCGTTTACCTTACCGATGTGTGCATTACCAGGAGCTACGGCAAGTATTATTGGAGATGGAAAAACAAGACATCATTCATAAATCCAGCAGCGAGTGGGCCTCTCCCTTGGTTCTCGTGTGGAAGAAGACTGGCGACCTCCGTATCTGCATTGATTATCGCTGGCTGAATTCACGCACTATAAAGGACGCACACCCTCTTCCTCATCAAGCTGATTGTCTTGCTGCCCTGGGAGGGAATGCATTGTTCAGCGCAATGGACCTCACATTCTGGCTTCTACAACATCTCCATGTGTGAGGAAGACAAGAGACTTACAGCCTTTACCACACCTCTAGGTCTCTATTAGTTCAGTTGTCTTCCACAGGGGCTATGCAACAGCCCAGCGAGTTTCATGCGGCTTATGATGAGTATATTTGGAGACCAAAACTTCCTTACTCTGCTGTGCTATTTGGATGATCTTCTAGTTGTGGCTCCCAATGAACAAAAAGCCCTGGAAAGGTTGGAGATGGTCTTCGACAGATTGAGTACTCATGGGTTGAAGTTGGCACCTAAGAAATGTTACTTCCTAAGACGGAGTGTCAGATTTCTTGGCCATGTTGTGAATGAACATGGAGTCGCAACTGATCCCGACAAAATTGCAGCCATTAACGCCGTTACCGAAAGGGACCTCATGATGGATGATGAAGTGTCACCCTCACCAAGGAAGATCAAATCCTTTTTGGGTATGGTCATGTATTATCAACGGTTCATCCCTAACTGTTCCAGTATTGCCAAACTGCTCTTCACGTTAACCGCTGCAGCCAAGGGAAAAAGGGGCTACTCAAAGGGTGGCGCTGTCTTCAGGAAACTCAGCCCGTCAGACTGGACTAGAGAGTATGTTCTATCTTTTGAACGGCTCAAGTCAACCCTTCTGAACTCTGTGGTGTTAGCTCACCCTGACTTCACCCAGCCATTTATTCTTTCTACAGATGCCTCCTTGGATGGTATAGGGGCAGTACTATCACAAATACCTGAAGGGGAGTCTATGGCATGACCAGTCGCCTTTGCTAGCAAGGCACTCACACGAGCTCAGTCAAACTACCCCGCACACCATCTCGAGTTTCTTGCATTGAAATATTCCGTCTGTGATTAAATTTAGTCATTGGCTAAAGGGACATCCTTTTACAGTCTGGACGGGACAATAATCCGTTGACTTATATCCTAACAAAGCCGAAACTAGACGCATGCGAACAGAGGTGGGTGGCTAAGTTGGCCCCGTACACCTTCGACATCAAGTATATACCTGGTGCAAAAAATTTAGTTGCCGATGCATTGAGCCGCCAGCCATTTGTCCCCAGCCATGTGAGTCAGAGACTAGTGGCAGAGCCCTACAACCATCTGCTCGAACAGTCTGAACAGATAAGAGAGGACACTGTTCAGAGTTCCTTTAGGCTCAGCGCAAACAACCAGTGTGTTGGACATCCTCTGGAGCAGTGTTCCTTGTCTTCTGATCAGGTTTCTGCTGTCTTAGAAGCTCATGCACAGTGGGAAGTGGGAGCACAGAACAGAGTTATATCTTGGCTTGCTCAAGAAACCCAACCGAGATTACCAGTTGGTCAGAACCCCTTACCCGTCTACTCACTGAAAGGGCTTCAAGAGAAGCAAGAAGGTGACCACGTGCTTTCAAGAGTTCTCTTCTATGTGTGCCGAGGTAAGAGACCGTCTCTGAGAGAAAGAGCTAAGGAACCTTACAAGGCTCTGAGACTGCTGAAGCAATGGGACAGACTAAAGCTGTTGGATGGTATACTGTACCGCATTTGCAAGGATCCAGACTAAGTTTAAACGTTACCAGTTCATAGTCCCTGATTCGCTGGTCAGTGTAGTCCTGTGTGGCATCCATGACGAGGCAGGCCATCAAGGCCAAGGAAGAACGTTGTCTTTGGCTAGACAGAGATTTTCATGGGTTGGTTTGGAGAGTGACACCTGAGAGTATGTTCAACGTTGTGTAGTCAGCAAAACCCCTGAACCAGAGGGAAGAGCCCCTTTAGAAAGCATTCGAACCACCAGCCCGGTAGAATTCGTGTGCATAGACTTCTGGTGTGCTGAAGATTCTTCTGGCAAGAGTGTCAATGTATTAGTGGTAACAGAGCACTTCACGAAAATGGCGAATGCATTCCTGTGCAAGAACCAGTCAGCAGCTCAAGTCGCTCGTCACTTATGGGATAAGTTATTTTGTGTCTATGGATTTCCACAAAGAATCCACTCAGACCAAGGAGCGAACTTTGAAAGCAGGTTAATCAAGGAACTTTTACAAGTTGCTGGTGTACAGAAGTCAAGAACCACGGCATATCACCCGATGGGCAACGGCCAAGTCGAGAGGTTCAATCGCACCTTGGGTAATATGATCAGGGCATTGCCTCCAAGAGCCAAACAAGCCTGGCCACAAATGCTGCAAACCTTGACGTTTGCTTACAATTGTACTGCCCATGAGTCAACCGGCTTTGCACCGTTTTTTCTCATGTACGTTCGGATTACCAGATTGCCTGTCGATTTGATGTTCCAGAGCGTGGATCGGGATAACAATATCACAGACTATGACCAGTATGTGAGAAAAATGAAGGACGATCTCAAAGAAGCTATGTTACTTGCTCAGGCCAACAACACTGCAAGTCAACAACGCCAAGCTGAGTATTACAACAAAGACGTCAAAGGCAGAGACATTGAGTTAGGAGATTATGTATTGCTCGCCAACAAAGGAGAGCGTGGGCGACGCAAGCTAGCCGACAAATGGGACTCAATTTTGCATGTTGTGGTATCTGTGGATACAAGATATCATACCTACCGTGTGAGGAACACTCGAACCAATCAGGAGAAGGTGGTTCACAGGAACTTGCTCTTATGAGCCAACTTCTTACCTGTTGATGAGAGGGAGTCCTGTGTAGAACTGGCCTTCGATGACTCCAAGTTGGACTGATGAGTCTGTGGTTGACACTACCTTAAATGAATCCGAGGATGCTAGTAACGAATTTGTTGGGTCAGCTCATTCCCCAGCTTGTCCATTAAGCACATTATTGGAAGAGGGAACCAGGGATCCCAGTTCTAGAACAGGACTAGAGCATGTCTCTGATGGATCAGTTCACGAATATGAGAATCGGGAAACCGTTCAGAACTCTGAGCCTGACCTTTCTACCATGGATGTGGAGGAAGTTGAGCTTGACATGGAAGAGTCCATGCCACCTGATGGAGTCTCTGGCGAGATTGTTCAGCCTTTAACCGAAACTGCTCACCCAGTCATAACAAGGGCTGGCAGATTAGTAAAACCAGTTAATAGACTGATTCAAATTATGACCCAGAAAACCCTCCTACGTAACCCTTCACTCAGCCTTCTCAGGTCAAAAGCTTCTTAAGTGTGGGATACAAATTCCCTGTCAGTGTTATGCATCTGGGGTACAATACATGTGGTGATCATTCAAGTATCTTTGTAGTAGTGTTTATGGCACTTCTTTTGCGGGCAGACACTTGAGAGTCTGGCCAACTTTCTTTTGTCGCTCTCTCAGTAAGTTGGGAAATGTATATGTTGCGTACGGATACTGTGATTTTTGTCAGAGTGTGATCACATCCCCAGCGTCATTGAGTCACGAGTTTTTGACTAGTTTTGTGAAGTTCAGGGGGGTGAATGTAGCCTGATGGGAAGAGTGAAATATTAATTGTATTTTATTTTTGTATGATGAACTTCCCAAAACTATTTTTCATTTAGTTTCACTAAATATTAAATTCCTACATGGGTCATGTAATGTTAATGTGAGTAGGAACTATTAATCATGGTGTTTGTTCGAATGGGACGCTTATCTGTGTTGCGTGCTATGCTTTTGAGGAGTGCGTGAGGTACGTCAGCCTGAATGGACGCACATTTTCCCTTCTCTTCTTCCAGTCATTATTCTGTTTAACGGAAGAAGTTAGCGCGACGGATGTTTCTCTTATCAAGTGTCCCATGTGTTTCAGATCAATAAATGGAACTGTTTTGAAGCTGGCCTGCTGTCTCCAGAGTGAAATTCCTTATGTACAGAATCAGATCTGCTACAAACAGATTCAACTGGAAACATTTGAGTGAAACAAATCATTTTGTTGAAACAACTTGTTTAACCGGTTTAAAAGAATACAAAACAATGTTCTACGGCGACGTCAAAATGTAAGCCTCCATGTATTCTTCTCAGAGTATTCCACGTTATGTGAGTTGTGATGTTAAATAAGTAAGGGATAATCAACGGCTTGCCGTGCATCTCGGGTGGTTCTTGGCCTCCACGTCCTGCACTTAAAATCCTTTAATGCACGGCAAACCGTTGATTATTGCGTGTGAGAGTGTGTGTCTGTGAGTGTGAGTGAGTGTGTGTGAGTGTGTGTGCGAGTGTGTGAGTGCGAGTGTGTGTGTGTGAGAGTGTGAGTGTGAGTGTGCGCGAGTGTGTGAGAGTGAGTAAGTGTGTGCGAGTGTGTGTGAGAGTGTGTGCGTGTTTTTGTGACAAATGAGGACATAAATGTGTATAATGACAAAGGTATGACAGGTATTACAAGGAGAAGGTGACTTTTCAGGACATTACCCCATGTCCCCACTTTTCAAAACGCTTATAAATCACACAGAATGGAGTGTATTGAAAATCTGAAATAGCAGAAAGTCTCCTGTGAGGGGTAGGTTTAGGGGTAGGGTTGGTGTAGGGCAATAGAATATACGGTCTGTACAGTATAAAAACCATTACACCTATGGGATGTCCCCACTTTTCACAAAAACTAACCTGTGTGAGTGTTGCATGTTGGTTAGTGTGCAACAATTAAAGGCAGCACATTAATACCTGTGCATTAAACGGTTTTACTACATACCTGCCAGCCAATCAGAATACAGTATTCAGACAGACCATGGAATAAAGCACGAAAACCCAGAGTATTCCGAAATATCAGCGGGAAACGCCCACGTTCTAGCACGGGTTGTCGGATTATTAAGCATCGGTTTAAGAATGTGCTTAAATGCAATCATTGTGTGAGACCTGTCACATCCAATATGACTGAGTTTGTACGTTAAACCGCTTTGAATGATTTACTCGCGCTGCAGTGGACACACGACGGGTGAATATCTCCAGCAGATATCGACGGCTGATTGAGATGCGACTTGCAGAAAAGTTTTCCTCATTATTTATAAATGTTGGTTTCGCTATTGAACGCTAAAGGCTTAATAGATAGCTGATGTCTGAAACCGAAAGTCTCCTGAATGGAGCTAAAAGAATAACACGAATCCACTTACCGCCCAGAAGCAACAGAGACAGCAACATTACCCTCTGCGTGTTTTCCTTGAGCCGTGACTGTGATGATTGATGGAGATGAAGTGATAGTCTGCTGTTCCGCTGAGTCTCCATCGCGTTCTTCCTTCACGAGCCGCGCCCAGGAGTGCAAAGATCGCCTAAACTCTGTTTCTCATGTGAGAGACGCTTTTAAAGGTACACAGTATTTTAATCAGTGGAAGATATTCAGAGACGAGCGGAACAGTCGCTTACTGTAAACAAGCCTGTAAAGAATGCACGCGGCGTCTCCTTCCTTCCAGCGGAAAAGTGAAACTATTTGGCGAATCTTTTTTGGATCCGGAGTCTGCGCAGTAGTGATCGTGGTATCAAAATCCCGCAGACACACAATCATGACACCGCTACCACTTATTTATGCTATCAAATTACTCAATAAAAGCAAACATATGAGAAAACACTCGTTATTTTTTAGTTTAGCTCACGTCCCATTCATTTACATGGAGAGGGCGGGGTTTATGACCTGTACTGCATTCAGAAATGTTTTGGCCCCAAAGTGACTGAACCTGACCACTGCTGACATGAAGTGACTAGTCGATTGTGGTGCGTGTGTGTGTGTGTGTGTGTGTGTGTGTGTGTGAGTGAGTGAGTGGGTGTGTGTGCGAGCACGTGTGCGTGTGTGTGAGTGAGTGTGCGTGCATATGAGTGAGTGTGTGCCATAAGATGTCACAGTGTGAGTGTGTGAGTGAGTGTGCGTGAGTGAGTGAGTGAGTGGGTGTGAGTGAGTGAGTGTGTGTGTGTGTGAGTGAGTGTGTGTGTGAGTGAGTGTGTGAGAGTGAGTGGGTGTGTGTGCGAGCACGTGTGCGTGTGTGTGAGTGAGTGTGCGTGCATATGAGTGAGTGTGTGCCATAAGATGTCACAGTGTGAGTGTGTGAGTGAGTGTGCGTGAGTGAGTGAGTGAGTGGGTGTGAGTGAGTAGATGTTTGTGTGTGTGTGTGTGTGTGTGTGTGTGTGTGAGTGTGCGTGCGTGCGTGCGTGCGTGAGTGAGTGTGTGTGCGTACGTGCATATGAGTGAGTGTGTGCCATAAGACGTCACAGGTGAAATAGAGACAATATCAGTGATTGAGGGAGATTCTGTCTCTACACACTGATGTTAATGAAATACAGAAATAGTGGATGTTTGGAAGCACTCAAATAGCTGAAGTCAACAGGCTCACGGAAACCAACTCTACATTTGCTTGCATGCTCTGTTGTGGTTTTCCAGGAACCCGAAAACAGACGAACGATAAAGAAGTGACGCACGCATCTCAGAGCTGTGTCTTTGAGTTGCTGTAAAAAACATAGCCACAAGACAGTCTCACCTTATCAATATGCTGAACTGTGATGATATCAGCGTGGGGCGAATGGCCAGAGCATCCGTATTGCTGGATTTTAAAAGACGGAAGGTGCCACACGCATGCGGCGGGGAAGACAGCTTCCTGGGTTTTAAAAGAAAGACCGGTGGAAAGCTGGATGGACGGGCACAGGGATTTGGTGTGTCATCAGACTGGCCAGACTTAAACGACCTATGCTGGAGGACAGGTACTGAACTGAAGTGGACCTCCCACTCCCAACCTGTAGAGGTCTCTGATGCAGTCGTAGAGCACCCATCTGTCATCGGGGAAGCCAGGCTGCACCATATCACCTGCTCCAGCCTAGAACATCAAGGCAGACTCTCTTGTCTATTCAAAGAGCCCAAAATATGGAGTACTGGTCCAATTTAAAACTCCAGGGAAAGTTGGCAAAACTGCCCTGCGCGGACCACTCTGTATCACACACCATTTACAGCAATGCCACCATCAGTGAGGAGATCCTCACTTTCTGTGTAAAAGCACGTCTACAGGTTCTTCCTACAAAATACAACCTATCACTGTGGTTCCCCTCCACCCATTCCCCCCTCTGCCTGCTGCATGACCCTCCTCAACACCTGGAGTCAGTAGCCCACATCATGAACAGTTGTTCATCATTTAAAGGATTATATACTGCCAGACATGACAGACTTGTGGACCTCATTGCTGCTCAGATTCCCTGCGTGGCTGATGAGCAGATCTTTAAACACACTACTGTACAATCTGAATGGTTCAACTCACCTGCAAACACTTTTCTAGGAATTGCCAATACACCAGATATCGTTAACATCTCTCAGAATGGC